CACAGTGTAATCAAATAAATCATAAAAATTGCTCATTTATTTATGGGCTGTATGCCTGGAGTACTTTAGCCGTTTGCTAAAAAGCTTTGTGTGTCTCTTAAAACTGGAAATAACTCTGCCCTTTAAAGAGGTTCACTTTTAAAGTATTAGAAATTTGTCTAAAGACACCGTATCTTTCAAATGCATCCATTGCAAATTTATTTTTCAAGAGTACAACCCCCCCCAAAGGTTGGTTTGTTTGTTTTTAATAATACACTTTTATTAAAAGAAAGATATTTGTTTGTTTGTTTTTAATTATGGTATTACAATTACATTCTTATTGGAATCCTGACAGGTCTAGATTTAGGTCTTGGGAATTTACTTTGGATGGATAAACAAAGGAGTCTTAGGAGTCTCTAGGAAAGTTTTCCATACCATGTTTTGTACATGTACATCCTTTATAGAACAGGTAGCCAGACCTGATATAAAAGTGACAGCCACTGGACTACAGAGACATGTTCCCACCTTTGGTCTGATGAGTCTAGAGAAGGAATCCATTTCTTAACTGTACAGAGTCCCAGTTTCAACAGGAAGAGTATGGAGAGCCCTGCCTAGCCTAAGGTCTAGTGGAGTGGAAGGGGGAGGGGAGGGCAACCTTTTTGATAGGCATGCCACAAATTAGTCACCCACCCTCCAGGTATCACTATAATCCCCTTACCCTGCCCAGTCTGCTTGCTCTGCTTTGTGCTCCTTACCTGAGCTGCTCCTCTGCTTTCTGTTTCCTGCCCTGTGTTCCCTGCCTGATCTCCTGCTCTGTTTCCTGCTCTATTGGCTGCTGTGCTGCCAGTCCCTTCGTGAACTGTAGGGATCCTGGTTTTCCCCAGTTTAAAAAAAATCCCCAATTGTTGGCTAAAAAAACATAACCTCAAATCCACATTTTTCCATGATTTAAATGAAACACCACTATATATACATATACATAACTCTGTAACTCTACCTATCTATATTTTAGTGGTGTTTCATTTACGTCACAGAAAAATGTGGATTTGGGATTACCTTTTTTAACCACAAATTTTGGTTGTTTTTTTTAAATTGGAGAAAACCAAGATCCCTGCTGATCTGCCACATCACACACAAAGACCACCCATGCCACTTTTGCCACAGGTTGGCCACCTCTGGCCTAGTGGTTGATTTAAAACCTGCTTCAGCTTAGGGCAGCCTAGAATCTATATATCTAATTTATGGGGAAGTACTCTAACCAACAGGTAGATTTTTGGGGCTGTGAATCCAGTCTTACATACATACCTAAATGCAGGTCAAATCCAGCATTTGAGATGTACCTATACTTTCAACATTTCTTACTGCTTGCCTGAGTCTACCTATCTCTCGCATTTAAAAGGAATGAACATTTAGATGCCTAACTCAGGTTTTCAACCGCAGCTTCTAACTTAGGTCTCCAGTCTCAGGTGTGGGAATGGTTAGCACTAACAACATGGAGTCCCTCTGTGAAGCCTACTCTAAATAAACTCATTTTGATGGGAGTTAAGGAAAAGCAGCTACTAATGAAGTAAATGCAATTTCCAGAGGGCTCTTTTACAAGATTTCCTATTGTAATTCATACATTTTGACACATTAGTTTAAAACACCATGAGTCTACCAAATCAATCTGTAGACAGAACACCCAAAAAAATTACCTGAAGAAGGATTATTGGTTTCAGATAAAGACCAGCTTGCATTTATTTAAACTGCACTTGTGTGAAATCAACTTCTAAATTACACTAGCTGTGTGGCTTGCTGAAAAAAGCATGTAGTGCATAAATAAAGACAAAATGATTGCCTTAGACTAGCAAGAAAAGACTCTAGATTATACTACAATACAATGAGAACAAAGTATAAGAAACCAAATATGTTACCAAATATAGGGAGTGCAGCAGTTTTCAGGTCTTTTTAGACTCAAATAATGCCTCCATAACTTTTCTGAATTGAGCAGTACCCCACTTCAGAAAGTAATTTATTACAGTTTATTGATTTACAATTTGAAAGGCTGTTATGGCACCCCACAGTGCTGCAAATCTTTGTTTTAGACGACAAAATAAGCAGTCAGATTTTCAAGAGTTCCAGACAGGGACCAACCGCTGGAAAAGCTGACCATGAGCTCTTTAGAAAAGGTGGGAAAGGGTATGGAGATCCATTGGCCTCTATTCTTTTTTTTTTCATCTTTCCTTTTAATAAAACTCTGCAGTCTAAAGCCCTTGTTGTTACCTACTACCAAGATCTCAAATTTTTCCCTTTACTCAGTGCTCTCTTGTTCTCTCATTTCCACTAACTTTTAAATATTCCTTATTTTGACCATACTTTTCTCTTGCTTCTTTATGTCACAGTACAAGAAAGCTCCCACGGTCTCTATCCTGAAAAAGAAGTCAGCTCCACTTGCCTTCCATCCAAACTCCCTTTTTAATTTCAGTTCTTCAGTATACTGCCTGCTCTCTTAGATCAGCTCCCATCTGGCATTGGAGCTCTCTGCCCTGCTGAAATGGTCCTTAGCAAGATCATTAATTTACCACTTCCTATCCATGTCATGTTTGTTATTATTTACATATATTACAATACTGTGAAGCTCTAGCCAAGATCAGAACTATAATGTTCTAGGTGATGGATATGTAAAAAGATGTCCTTGTCCTGATAAATGCAAAATATAAATAAACAAGAGAAACAAAGGATAGAAGAAAGAATGATTACAGATGGAGAATCTTCCTTCAGAGACCCACATATTGGCCACCAGAGCTATCTGCCCCTGCAGCCTCTCTTGCCAACCCCAGGAGCATGGGAAGAGCTGTGCTGAAGTGTGGCCTGATGTCCACCTGCCTCTGCCTGTGGCAGAGAGTATTACTTGGAGATCTGAAGCCAGCAAAGGGGGGCAGGGCATGGGCAGGAGAGGAAAGAGGGTGCAGGAAGCTGCAGGAGTGGGAATCCCTGGAAAAATACTGGAAATAGGGCTTTGGATGGGGGGGGGGGGGGGGGGGC